CTCTCTCTCTCTCTCTCTCTCCTCTCTCACTCTCTTTAAAAAAAAAAAAAAGAATTATAAAAATATGTTTAGACTTTCAACCATGGTCAGCCTGATATGGTAGTGGATATCTGTGAAATGGGATTTCAAGGCATCAAAAAGTTTATGTGCTCTCTTAGTTACTTTTATTCACAGTCTGTCCCCATCCCACCTCCTGTTGGTTATGAAACCAGGGTCTTGTGCATGCTAGGCAGATGTTAAACCAGTGAGCTACATTCCCAGTTCCTTATTTACAGTTATTTATGCTTGAAATTTTATAGTTAAACTTAATTATTTCCATGTTAATTTTGTGTGGTACTGGGAATTGAACTAAGGACCTTGCACATGGTAGGCAAGGACTCTTATAAGTGAGCTACAGCCCTAGCTCTAGTATTTTATTTTCCTACTTCATTGTAAATGCTTTTAAGATGGTGGCATGTTATGTGGCTAAGTTAATATTTTGTGTATTTTTGTGTAGTGATGAGTATCAAACCCAGTGCCTTACACATGCTAGACATGGCTACCACTAAGCCACAACCCCAGCCATGCTAAGTTAGTATTACTGTGATTTAATTTTAGATCCTTTGTATTTTTTGATCAAGGAGTAAGAAATAGAGTTGATTGAAAGAGGAAAAGAACAGATTCCAGGGCTGGGGATATAGCTCAGTTGGTAGAGTGCTTGCCTTGCATGCAGGCCCTGAGTTCAATCCCCAGAACCACACACACACACAAAGAACAGACTCCAGATTAATAAGGTTGTCTTTGCTCCCAATCTTCTCTAAGAATGATAACATTACTTGTTATCATTACAAACCTTGTACATTCTGCCTATTGTTCTCTACATACGTGTGTGTGCATATATGCATGCCTATGCATACATAAGCCAATGGAATCTTTTTTATTTAGTTTGGTACTGGGGATTAAACCCAGAAGTGCTTAACCATTGAGCTTTACTTAATTTAGTAGTTTTAAGCTTTACTTAATTTCCATTTTGAGTGATTGCTGACTTCAGATTATCATGAAGATTAACCAAAATGATGTTAAATCTGTTTTTAATATGCTAACATCAGTGGTTCATTTTTTATTGGTAAATTTAAAAATTTAAAGCAATTATTGGAGCTCATGTTTTTAACCTTCAGTTTAGGTCATTCTAAACTTTCATATATAGATTACATCTTGAGAAATTTAAAAACAAATAATTTACAGACTTTTGAACATTAAAAAAATTACTAATTTGCCTTCAACAGAGATCATGGCATCAAATCATTTTGGCTAAAACTCCATGTTTTTGATCTTAACTTTGGTTTTATTATGGCAAAATTCTGTTTTAAATTTTTTCACTTTAATTTTATTTCTTCAGAGAAGAAAGAGTGAATATGAAGGTTCCCAGAGATATGGATGATGCCAAGGCTCTAGGAAAAGTTTTATCCAAATATAAGGACACCTTTTATGTACAAGTACTTGTAGCTTATTTTGCTACATATATTTTGTATCCTTTTAACTGAAAAATGCTTTGTAGTTTTGTTCAAGAAAGGGCTTAAAAGAACTGTCATTTAGTTGTGTGTAATYGTAAATTATTTTTCCTTTTAAAAATTGTTAATGCAGGGGCTGGGGATGTGGCTCAAGCGGTAGCGCGCTCGCCTGGCGTTCGTGCGGCCCGGGTTCGATCCTCAGCACCACATACCAACAAAGATGTTGTGTCTGCCGAGAACTAAAAAATAAAAAAATAAATAAATAAAAAAAAAATTGTTAATGCAGTGTTAATACTAAATAAAATATTTGAAAATGTAAAATTATACCTTAATTTTAACTAATTTATTTTTATGACTATTATCAAATTTTTTGATATTCTTTTTGTCACTTATTAAATATTTCCCTTTATTATTAAGGATATTTATCTATTTGGGTTTTTTATAATTATTTTATTAATTTTAAAAATAAATTATTTTCAGTTGGTAGTTATGTCATTTTTTAAAAACATTCTAGTGGGTTTGTACAATTTGCTTTTAATCATTTGCTTTTATAGATGTTATCTTATAAATCTCCTTTGTTCATGGTTTTTCCCTTCCATTTAGAAGTTTCTTTTGCAAAAGTTCAAAAGAAAATAAATATTCAAAGGAGTTTCTTTGTTTTATGGAAATGTATGTTGTTGGTTTTTTTTTTTTTTTTTTCATTTATTTTTTTTTGGGGGGTGGTGCTGAGGATCTAATGCCTTACATGTGATAGGCAAGCACTTTACCACTGAGCTACAACCCCAGCCTATTGTTATATAGCCTGCTTTCCAAATCTTGATTAATGAAAGATTACTTCCTGATTTTGTTAATGTTACTTAACAACAATAAAAGGCTGTTTTGGGAAACTATTTATAAAGTTATTTAATTGTACATACCTTGTCAATTAATCGATAACTTCCAGGCATAGTGGCAAATGTCTGTGAAAATTTTTAAAATAGCTTTTTTTAAAAGGCAAATTAACTATGTTGTTAGTTCCCTTAAGGTATTTGTAGTTTTACTTCCTTTTTTATTTCCTGAATTAATTTTGGATTGTTGGGTTTTTTGTCCTATGAAATTTAATAGCGTTTTCTTTTTTAAATATGTTGTTAGTTGTATGTGACAGGAGAATGTATTTTAACATATATAAGTGGAGTATAACTTCTCATTCTGTGGCTGTATTTGATGTGGAGTTACAACATTTCTTTTCTTGGACTTATATTGCATTGGGTATTACATGTTTCTACAATTGATCTCCTTATGCAATAGTTTTGAGTATATATGTAAAAATATTGGAGAAGTTACTTCTAGCATAAGCAATTTAACAGTAAATATGTTTACAAAAGCTTTTACTGCCAATGGAAACATTAATTGTTTACCTACATGGTGAAGATGGATTTGTATTTAGGTAGTGTGCTGTAGGTAGATACTTTTATTGTTGTCCTCCCTATTTGAAAAATTAAAATCTGGAGAAAGTTGGGAATAAATTTTGTGCACATTTCTTTTAATTTTTTAGACTATTACAGTTTCCTACTTCAAGCAACACAATATATTCAGTATAGTATAAACTTTGGAAAAGGTTTTTACAATTTTTTTTTTTAAGTTATATGTGGACACATTATCTTTATTTTCTTTATTTTTAGGTGGTGCTGAGGATTGAACCCAATGCTCACTGCCACTGAGCCACAACCCTAGCTTGCACCTTTCTTTTTGATAGGCTGTTTTAGGAAGCTATTTAGAAAGTTATTTAATTGTATATACACTGTCTTAAGAAATCTATTAAATGCCAAGCATGTTAGTGCATGCATGTAATCCCAGCAACCAGGAGGCTGAGGCAGGAGGATTGCAACTTAGCAAGGCCCTAAGCAACTTAGTGTCTCAAAATGAAAAGCAAAAAGGGCTGGAGATGTAGTAAAATGCCCATAGGTTTGATATAAAATTTTAAGTAAGGGCTGGGGATGTGGCTCAAGTGGTAGCGCGCTCGCCTGGCATGCGTGCGGCCTGGGTTTGATCCTCAGCACCACATACCAACAAAGATGTTGTGTCCACCAAATACTAAAAAAAAAAAATAAACGTTAAAATTCTTAAAAAAAAAAATTTTTTTAAGTAAGATACTGGTTAGTATCAATTCAGTTTTTTTAAAAATATTTTTTTAGTTGTAATTGGACACAATATCTTTATTTTATTTATTGTTATGTGGTGCTGAAGATCGAACCCAGTGCCTCACACATGCTAGGCGAGCGCTCTACCATTGAGCCACAACCCCAGCCCCTTAATTCAGGTTTTGATTTTTTAATAAAATAAGTAATTTGTTAAATCTGTATTTTCTTATAACATTCTTTATACTTTTGATCTTTTTAAAAAATATTTTTATTTTAGATGTTGATAAATCTTTATTTTATTCATTTATTTATATGTGGTGCTGCKGATCAAACCCAGTGCCTCACACATGCGAGGCAAGTGCTCTACCACTGAGCCACAACCCCAGCCCTATACTTTTGATCTTAATGTTTTTAAACTCGGTGAACAAAGGGAAAGACTTTATCTTTGGGCATATATAACAGTTTTTGTTTTACTAGTGCATGACTGATTAATAGAAATAGGTGGAAGCCTGGTTTAATTTTTAAATTTAATGGTAGGCACATTAGAAAAAGTGGACCACCTGAAATTAATTTTTCAAATAATTTTACTTGAATCAATGTATTAAATGTTGTTTTATCATTACAACATATAATCACTATAAATTTTCATGTGGATGTGCTAGGAATTGAACCCTGGGCCTTTTGTATGCTAAGCATGTACTCTATCACTGAGCTACACACCAGGCTTTAAAAAATTTATTACTGAGGTACTTTAACAAATCTTTTTTTTCATATTATTTCTTTGGGATGTGTGTATTTTATATTCATAGCACATCTCAGTTCAGACTTGCTGTATTTCATTGTCTTAATAGCAGTATATGGTCACTGTATTCAGCAGTGCAGTGCTAATACCTTCTTGAATAAAAACCTAATTTCAAATAAGAAATACCTAGAATGGGCAAATTCATATAAATAGAAAGACTTAAAAGAAATCTTAGGTTTTTTTGTTTTGTTTTGTTTTGTTTAGTACTCATGTTGTTAGTAATAATATTGTTACTCATGTATTTACAATGTGGAAAAGTTTCAGTAGGATATTGCTAATGTATTATGTATTTTTTAAAAAAATTTTTGTAGTTATAGGTGGATTCAATACCCTTTTATTTTATTTATGTTGTGCTGAGGATCAAACCCAGGGCTTCACACATGCCAGACAAGTGTTCTACCACTCAGCCCCAGCCCCAGTATTATGTATTTTTAAAAATATATAATTTTTAGTTGTCAATGGACRTTTATTTTATTTATTTATATGCAGTACTGAGAATCTAACCCAGTGCCTCACACATGCTAGACAAGCGCTCTACCACTGGCCACAACCCCAGCCCTGTATTATGTATTCTCAATATGTGAAGCAAACGGTTAATTATGTTAAGGTCATTAAGAACCAAGATTTTAGCTGGGCATAGTGGCACACAACTATAAATCTCAGTAGCTTTAGGGTCTTGAGGCAGGAGGATTGCAGGTTTGAAGCCAGCCTTAGCAATTTAATGAGACAGTAAGCAACCTAGTGAGACCCTGTCTCAAAATTAAAAAATTTTAAAAAGGGCCGGGAATGTGGCACTCCTGGGTTTAATCCCTGGTACTAAAAAAACAAAAACAAACAAAAAGCCAAGATTTTTTGGGAAAGAGGAATTTAATTCTAAATAGCTAGAAATTTTCAAGTCTAAATAGCTAGAAAATTAAGCTCAAGTCACTTGCCCATGCACAAAGAAAAATACTTTGGTAACTATTACCATAAGGTAATGGACAGAATATGTTGAAGATACAACAGAATATCCAAAAAGTGGCAAATGATAGTTTCTCCAGTAAATAAAGTGGAAGAAACAAAAAAATTATGGTATACTTGAGCTATATTGAACAAATAGAATATGTGAGCCTTTTTTAGATTCTGATTTGAAAAAGATAACTATTAAGAAAATGCAAGCCTGGTATGGTGGTCAGGCCTATAATTCCAAGGACTCTGGAATCTGAGGTGGAAGGATTGCAAGTTTAAAGCCAGCCTGGACAACTTAGTGAGACCACATCTCAAAATAAAAATTAAGAACGGATAGGGATGTAGCTCAAAGCCATCTGAGTTGTTAAATTCCCAATACTGAAAAAAAAAATAGAGACATTTTGGAAATTAAAACAAACACAGACTAGATATTTATGACAGTAAAAAGTTAATATTGGGCATCATCAATACTAGTTTCGGATATTTGAAATTTTCCATAATAAAGTCTTACCCACTAAGCCATCACCCCACTCCTTCTTTATTTTTTATCTCTCACTCGGGTGCTTGAGGCCTCACTTAAATTATTGAGGCCGGGCCTGGGATTGTGACTCAGCGGTAGAGCACTCGCCTTGCACGTGTGATGCCCTGGGTTCCATCCTCAGCACCACATAAAAATAAATAAATGAAATAAAGGTATTGTGTCCAACTACAACTAAATAAATATTAAAAAAAGTTAGAGGCAGGGGCTGGCCACATAGCTCAGTTGGAGGAGTGCTTGCCTCAAATGCAATCAATCCCCAGCACCACACACACAAAGAGGCATTATGGCTATGGAGCCCCCATATATATATATACTTTGAATATCATTTTGCTTTATCTTTTAATAAATTATCTTAGGGGTGGCAATGTTGTCCAAACCAAAACTGGGAATCAGAAGACAGTATAAAAAGTGTTACCTATTTTAAAAAACAAGGTGTCTGATTTTTACTGTATTTGATCATCCCTACCCTATTTTTTTTTTTTCCCTCTCTTAAGTACCAGATTGAACCCAGGTGTGCTTACACACTGAGCCACACTTCAGCCCTTGATTTATATTTTATTAGAGACAGGGTCTCCCTGAGTTGCTTAGGGCCTTGCTAATTGCTAAGGCTGATTTTGAACTC